CAAATTAATAAAAAATCATAATTGTCAGACAAATCACTTTGTAAGACATCATACTTGTCCTCACAAATGTTCATCACAACAAAAGAAGTGAAATAAAAACATTTTTAACAACAGCTTGTACATAAAATATTATTTAAAACCTTATATTTATATGTATAAGATTGAAGAATTTTATTTAATTTACAGTGGAAGGTTTCAGCCATTGAATGTCTCTAAGTCGCAAGCTTACTTCCACAACACGTACCCCACGGTACCGTGTCCATACAGTACCCCCATGGCTCCGTACCGTTAAGGATTCTCAACAGTAAATTACAAAATATGCTAAGCGGCCGATATAAATCAAAAGTTGGTAAGGGTAGTTGCAAAGGGACGAGGAGCCTTCAAAACGGCCTCGTTTACCCGTCGTGGTCCGTCTTCGGGGGTCGATCGGTACCCAAAATAAGGGAGGAGGGAGCCCCGTGTCATGGATCCCTACGGATAACCACTTTCTCTCTCACGGACACCCGGTCTGGAGTTTGCAAACCCAGCAAATGGACCGGAAGACTTGCTTCTGTGATATTTACTTCAGAGTGATACTTGACAAATTGCACAAATTTAAAAACTTTTGAATTTACCGCCAAATTTCAGGATTCGTTTACTTGAGTTGCAAGCTTAATATTTATAAGTGACAAGTTAATACGTTTAGCAGACATATTTTAGATTTTAATTGTTTATTTTGTTTATAGTAGTACAATACTTTTATTAAAACTTGACTTGACAAATTTCCTTTGTATGAATTTTGAATTTCCCGCCAAATTGTGGGAGTGGGTTCTGCACTCGAGTAAAGCAAGTTTAATAGTTATTTCTAACAAGTTAGTAGGAAGTATGATGTCAGACATGAAGACGTATTTCATATTACAGTTAATTGTTCATTTTATAAATAATACTACAATAATTTTATTGAAACTTAACCTATGATGTCTTTGAGAGTTATGTCAGTCAGAGCTAATTATTGCTACAATAATTGAGGCAAATAAGGTAAACTAAGCATACATTGAATTCAGGAATTATGTAAATTATAATTGAACTTCAGTCACGTTGCAAATATAATTTCAATTTGTTGTCTGATTTGTTATGTGCGTCACAAGTGCGTCACGCTATTATAATTCAAACTTTAAAATATGTCTAATAAAAATAACTACCTTAACACGTTAATACACAAGTACATACGTTATAAAATATTAAAGAAGCAATACAAATACGTTACAGCCACGGTAACGAAAATTGTGTACGCGACGTCGCACCGAAGATTTATGGCGGTCGTCACGGCGGCCGATTTCGAGATGCGCCACGATTCTCCGAAGGAGATTCTCGATTTCTAGCTGAGATAAAAGCGTGTGGTCGCGTTTGATTCTGCCGCGGAAGCTCGTGAAGATCGATACGACAGAGATGATCGCTTCGATTCATCGACGCCTCGACGCGAGATCGGACGACCACCCTTGGGCCAGAAAATTCTCTTCAGGCAACGAGACCCGTGTTTGCCTTGAGTGACGTTTACTCTTTGGCCAATTTTGGTGGATAAATTTTTAATAAAATATTGTGCGTGTCTGGTCAGTGGACAGCTGGATATGAGTCTTATTTTTTACGTCAACTTATTGGAGATTTATATAGGGTGTTTCATAAATAGTGTTACTCTGAGAAGGGGTTGCAGCTGTGACTATGAATTTTTTCTTTCGCAAAGTGGAGTTTAAAGATTTGTTTTTATGTGGATTTATTGAGGGAAGATAGGTTAATTTTATTGACTCATCAATTTGTTGGAGACTTATACAGGGTGTTTCATAAGTAGTGTCATTTTTGTGAAGGGGTTGCTGCTGTGACTCTGAATTGTTTCTTCTGTAAAGTGGAGTTTGAAGCTTCGTTTCTGTGTGGATTTATTAAGAGCAGATAGGTCGACCTTATTGGCTCGTTAAATTGTTAGAGACTTATACAGGGTGTTTCACAACTAGTGTTACTCCTGTAAAGAGGTTACAGCTGCGACTCTGAATTCTTTCTTTTACAAAGTGAAGTTTGAAGCTTAATTTCTGTGTGAATTTATTAAGAGTAGATAGGTCAATCTTATTGGTTCATCAATTTGTTAGAGACTTATACAGGGTGTTTCACTAGTGTTACTCCTGTAAATGGGTTACAGTTGTGGCTCTGAATTTCTTCTTTTACAAAGTGGAGTTTGAAGCTTCGTTTCTGTGTGGATTTATTAAGAGTAGATAGGTCAATCTTATTGGCTCATCAATTTGTTAGAGACTTATACAGGGTGTTTCACAACTAGTGTCACTCCTGTAAAGGGCTTACAGCTGCGACTCATAATTTTGTCTCTCCCAAACTAGAGTTTAAAGCTTTGTTTTTGTGCATTCATTAAATTAAGATAAATTGTATTAATTTTTAACTTACATTAATTATCAAGTTAGTTAATTTAAGATCTGACTTGTAACTTCGAAAATTCCTAACCATTTACTACTTTGTTACATCTTTTGAACATAGGAGACCTCGCCTTTATCCAACTTTAACACAACGATAATATAACATCTAAACGAAAGAAAAACTCCAGTTAAGTTTCAATTTTCCAACACACGCACACCTATCACCATAAATTCTTGGTAATAGCGCAATAAACGTTAAATCCATTTCTCCGTCGGAGAAAATCCATTTGAACGACAGTCGCTCGTCATTAATCTCCCGTCGGAAGAAAAGAAATCCGACGATTCGCCAGGAGGAAATTCCGTCGATTTACATTTTCGTCGAAGAATATGGGGTTCTCGATTGTGTTCCACATAGTTACACGAGGCTCGCGATAAATTATGCTACCCGCAAGCGGTCAATTATACGGCAGACTATTAATCGAGATACGGGGAAACGTGGATGTTAATAAACCGTCGGTTGAAAGTGTTTTCAACGACGTTTACACGCGTCGCTATCTGCCGATCTACGCTAATCGAGCTCTCCCGATGCACCCAGTCGTCACGCGTGCTATCCCCATGGATATGCCTTTCGACCCCGACTTTCATTCGGCGAACGCTTCCTTAAACGGGATATCTTCATATCCGTTTTCATTCATTTCGTGAATTTTGAGTAATTGCGTTTTTCTTGGGGGCCTTTGTTGAGGACGGTTAGGATTAATGGAGGGTATTTATCTTTAACGTCTACCGTATGTGGCGTTATATCATTTTTTGGGTTGTGGATTTTTAAGGTTGTGATAGTTTTTAGGTTGTGATATTTTTTAGGTTATGATACTTTTGAGATTGTGATAATTTTGCTGTTATAATAGTTTACTTGTGATGATGTTTGTAAGGTTATAATATTTTTGAGATTGTGATAGTTTTGAGGTTATAATATTTTTGAGATTGTGATAGTTTTGGGATTATAATATTTTTGAAGTTATGATATTTTTTAGGTTATGACACTTTTGAGGTTGTGATAATTTTGCGGTTGTGAAAGTTTGCCTGTTATGATATTTGTGAGGTTATGATATTTTTGAGGCTATGATAATTTTGATGTTATGATAGTTTACTTGTTATGGTATTTTTTAGGTTATGATGTTTTTGAGGTTATGATATATTTTAGATGTTATAATATTTTTGAGGTTATGATACTTTTTAGTTTAACATATTTTTGAGGTAATGTATGTGAGGTTCTGAATGTGTAAATTTTATAAATACATAAATATCTCAACAAATCTACCAATAATCAAAAGATAATTTCAAGCTAAGAAGGCAGTAAAAGTTTCTCGAATATATTCTTTCGAAAGTAGAAAAATGTGGAGAGGCATAAAGACGATGCCAGTAGAAGATTTCTACGTTATTCAATCGCGTATAGAATGTTTCCACGTGTAAAACCACGGGAAGGCGTTGCGGGATAACTGTGGAAAGCGATGATTTTTATCCGGATGACTTAACACGCGCATACTAATATGCCATAGGTTCAACATCGTGGCAACGCGTCATTTTACATTAGCAATGCAATCGCGCGATAATGGATAGTTCCGATGATCGTTCCTATCGTGTTTCAAGCAAAACGGATTTCATACCTTTTGTGCGCAAATAATAATTTTCAAGCACTATTTTGTACTTATGTAATAATAAATACCTTATGTTTGAAATCGAAAATTATAATTGAGCAGTTTAAAGTGAAGTATTTAGTTTGTGCTATTAATTATAATTCAAGTTTGACTGGTTCAAATTTGTGATTATAATTTAATTTTAATTAGTCGTATGTGTATACATATGCGTAAACAGTGCATACATGTCTACATGCATAAGTATATACATATGTAGGATGTACACACATATGCATATGTAAGTGCAGACATAAGTACATACACGTGTATAGTGCATACACATATGCATATTGAAGTACATACACGTGTACAGTACATACTCATATGCATATATAAGTACCTACATATGTACAGTGCCTACACATATGCACATATGTATAAATACACACATATGTAGAGAGCACACACACATGTATATATCAGTACATACATGTACACATACGAACAAATATTCATATCGACATACTTAAACACACATGTATGTATAAATACACACTCACATGCATTTACATCAGCTTATGCATATGTGTACATACTCATACGTCTGCACGTTGCAACTAGAAAATCCTAGGCTGAATTAATGAAACTCTAATCTAATTATTTAACAAATTAATATAACACATGTATTCATATGTACATATGTTATAGATACGTACAAACTTAAATTTTCACATATGTCACATATGTCACATTAGCGCATTAAATACTTTGATCACAGTTTCATGAATGTATAACTCATACAAGTTACATATGTTGTACATATTATAAATACCATGTACATTATAACATATGACTACAACATACATGTAATATTTATTTGTACATGAACTTAAAGAATCTAGTTTTGAGGAGTCTAAAGAATTGTATAAAAGAAGAAACTGTCTATAGCAAATCGACAATAAAAGAGACTCACGTGGACCAAAGTTCGTGTGTAGGTGGTAGTTTCACTTCCGCCGTGGTTTTTTCGGGAAGTTTATAGTATTCATAAACGTAGGAAGCGGCAGGATCGTCGCCATGACTAGCGACAGCCGAGACCTGGTGTTGTTGTTGAAGATTGAGCATAGCCGCGGTCGCTACCGAGAGCGGATGCTCGCAGTAGGTCCGCCAGTCGCCCTCCATGCCCTGCACCTGCACCTGCACGGCAGCAACCCTTTTGTGGACTTCCGGGTCGGCGCCCTCGGCGCCGCTCTGCAGCGACTGGGCCGCCTGCGCCGCCGCCTCTTCCGCCCCCAGTTCTTCCTCTTCCTCTGTGTCACGCTGTCCAGCTACGTAACCGGATTGTTGTTGCTGTTGTTGTTGCGAATTTTCGTCGCTTACCACGCTAGTCTCTTCCTCGCCGCGACTTCGGCGTCTGAAATCATAATAAATTTTATCGTTAGTGGAGTCAGATTATTTTAAGATTCAGTTGTTTCAAGATACAGTTGTTTCAAGATTCAGGTGTTTCAAGGTTTAGTTGTTTCAAGATTCAGTTGTTTCAACATTTAGTCGTTTCAAGATTCAGTCGTTTTCAAGATTCAGTTGTTTCAAGATTCAGTTGTTTCAAGAATCAGTTGTTTCAAGATTCAGTCGTTTCAAGATTCAGTCGTTTCAACATTTAGTCGTTTCAAGATTCAGTCGTTTTCAAGATTCAGTCGTTTCAAGATTCAGGTGTTTCGAGATTCAGGTGTTTCGAGATTCAGTTGTTTCAAGGTTCAGATGTTTCAAGATTCAGTTGTTTCAAGGTTCAGGTGCTTCAAGATTCAGTTGTTTCAAGGTTCAGTTGTTTCAAGATTCAGTTGTTTCAAGATTCAGGTGTTTCAAGGTTCAGATGTTTCAAGATTCAGTTGTTTCAAGATTCAGTTGTTTCAAGATTCAGTTGTTTCAAGATTCAGTTGTTTCAAGATTCAGTTGTTTCAAGATTCAGTTGTTTCAAGATTCAGTTGTTTCAAGATTCAGTTGTTTCAAGATTCAGTTGTTTCAAGATTCAGTTGTTTCAAGATTCAGTTGTTTCAAGATTCAGATGTTTCAAGATTCAGTTGTTTCAAGATTCAGTCGTTTCAAGATTCAGTCGTTTTCAAGATTCAGTCGTTTCAAGATTCAGTCGTTTCAAGATTCAGTCGTTTCAAGATTCAGTCATTTCAAGATTCAGTCGTTTCAAGATTCGTTGTTTCAAGTAAAATTAGCTGAGATTTGGGTCTATTTGGTTTTGGAGAGTTATTGTGAATTTTAGGTGCAATGATGTTCCATTTCGAGGAGGAGGGTTTCGGATAGGTTCATGATATGATCTTGATATGTTCATGATATGGTTATACGTTCATCATATATGGTCATGATTTGGTCATAATATGTTTATGATATATTCACGATATATTCATCATATGTTCATGATGTATTCATATGTTCATGATGTGTTCATATGGTCATGATGTGTTCATATGGTCATGATGTGTTCATATGTTTATCATATGGACATGATGTGGTTATGATGTGGTCCTCATATGTACATGATATGTTATAATATATTCATGTTATGTTTATCACATGGTCATGATGTGTTCATGATGTGTTCATATGGTCATGATGTGTTCATATGGTCATGATGTGTTCATATGTTTATCATATGGACATGATGTGGTTATGATGTGGTCCTCATATGTACATGATATGTTATAATATATTCATGTTATGTTTATCACATGGTCATGATGTGTTCATATGTTCATGATGTGTTCATGATGTGTTCATATGGTCATGATGTGTTCATATGTTCATAATGTGTTCATTTGTTCATATGTTTATCATATGGACATGATGTGGTTATGATGTGGTCCTCATATGTACATGATATGTTATGATATGTTCATGTTATGTTCATCACATGGTCATGATGTGGTTATGATATGTTCATGATATAGTCATGATATGGTCATGATATATTCATGACATATTTATAACATATTCATGAGATTGTCATATGTTGATGATGTAGTTATGTGGTTAATATATGTCGTTAACATATGTGGTTAATGTATGTCGTTAACATATGTGGCTAATACATGTGGCTAATATATGTGATTATATATGTGGTTAATACATGTAGCTATAATATGTGGTTATGTGGTTACATATGTAGGATATACATATTATTTTTATCATTCTACTACAAAAATTTTATTCAAAACATCAAAGATCATTTCTAGCAACAATTTTCCCACAACGAAGCCTTCAAAACTGCCTTATTTGCGACACAGAAAACACCATGTAAGACATTTATTTACAGACAACTATCATTTACAGCCATACCCAGCTAGCATCGATTACGTATTCCTCGCCATTTATTTATTTAGTCGAAACCTATTGGCATTGCAAGTACATCATGTCGCAGATTGCATCAATATGTACTAAAATCGATACCGCACGCTTAAGTGGTAATTACACAACAATTTCTGCATACGCAACACGATTTATATGACACGTTACAATAATCTAGCGGAATGAACCCATTGCGCAACATTCCTTTAACATCGGATATTTGAACAAACGCTTAAATACCTCAGGGAAACAACCCCCATAAAGCATGTGCTTCGGTTGGAAACGGACAGTAGCAAATCGTCGTAGCGACTCCAACTGGCGATGTCTTCGCGATTATCCGCGGATTTCCTGGAACTCCGCGCGGGTAATGAATTTACCGGGGAGAGTAGTAACAGTTAGAAATATATGCCAGAGTGGTCGCGCGATAAATCACCGTAGACCCGTCGAATTTATCAATTAACGATAATCGCGACGCGGTTAAGCCACGCTGATGATTCCTCAATTTAGCAATGACCACCGGGACGAGCGTGCGCCACACACACGCTCGCCACCGCACAGTCCGCGGTAATTTATTGTCAGTTACCTCGCGATATCTAATCGCCTCCTGGAACTGCCGTGCGCGGCCTTTCCAGAGGACTACACCGGCTAGACATTTGTCACTGGTCGTTAGTTTCCGGCCACGATGACTTCCGGCTGCGATCCTCGCCGTCGGCGAATCCCGCGGGATTTGTTAAATATTGAACGCGAACGAAGATTAAGGGTTTATACCCTTGGATAGTGAGAATGTTACTATAATTTTATTTGTGAAACTGTATTGTATAGAATTCAATCGTGTGGAATTTCATTTTATGGAATTCATTCGAGTGGAATTCCATCTTGTACGATACATTTTGGTGGAATTCTATTTGGCAGAATTCAATTCAGTGGAATTCCATTGTGCAGAATTCAATTTGGTGGAATTCCATCGTGTAGAATTTAATTTGGTGGAATTCCATTTTCCAGGATTCCATCTGGTGGAATTCCATATGGTAGAATTCAATCTGGTGGAATTCCATTGTGCAGAATTCAATTTGATGGAATTCCATCTTGTAGAATTTAATTTAATGGAATTTCATTTTCCGGGATTCCATCTGGTGGAATTCCACTTGGAAGAATTCCAAGGTTTCGAATTCCAAAATTCAAAATCCCAAAATTCTAAAATTCCAAAAATCCCAAAAGTTCAAAAAATCCCTAGATCCCAATATCTTCAGATTTCTAAATCGACAGATTCAGAATTCCCTAGATCCCAATGTCCCTAGATCCAGAAGTTACTAGATTCTCAAATCCCTAGATCCAGAAATCTCTAGATCTCAAAATCCTTAGATTTTAAAGTCCCTAGATCTCAAAATCCCTATACCCAAAAACCCTTACTTCCAAAAATCCCTAAATCCAAGAAACCCTAGATCAGAAAGTTCGAAACGTCCAAACTTCGAAAATTCTCTACAATACTAAAATAATTTCCATCCAAAACTTTAAAATACCCAAGTCCCAATGTCCCAAAATTCAAAAGTTTCAATTCTACCAAATAATTATTAACCAAATTCCTATAGGCTTAAACGCAACCCATATAAAAATATACCCTATGTCAACAACTTCTACTCAGAACCTCAAGTTCACAGTACCATAAATGTCCTATCCCTTTCTCGCACCGTTACACCGATCTCGGTCCATCAAAACTATCCTGAAATCTGGTCTAATAAAACGATATCCATGTTTGCGTATCTCCGAACAGTTATCCTCCAGGTTGATGATCACGAATGAACTCATTACGTTTCCTAGCGAGCATTAATTCACGAAAGGCTTCCATACACTCGCTCGACCCGGACTCTCGGATGCGCCTGTGCAAACAGCCGCCGAGGAAAATATTTGCACAGGATAACGCGGTCCCTCATTATCGGGGTAGCTGAGGGGCGACCAGGTGCTGGAACAGGAGCAACGCGAAGAAAAAAACGAACGAAACGATATCGAACGGTGGAGTTGAGGAAGAAAGAGAAGGAGAAGAAGGAAGGGAAAAAAGGAGAGTGAGAAGGAAGGAAAAGGGGAAGAGGTAGATTGATTCGACATGCATAAATTAGAGAGGATGAGCCTTTATACCGTGCGCGACTCACAGGATCGGGATTGGAATTGGGATGCACGCCAAGGAAGAGTATAAATTGATGACTGTAGGCAAAAGGCAGGGGTTTATAATAATTAATCTTCGTGCTCATATATATATATTGTATGTATGTATATGTGCTTCGACCCTCTCTTTCTTGATCTTCTTTCTCGAAGCTCAAAGCGTGGTTCGCGTCAAAGCATCTGCTTGCATGAGCATTTTTCTTTCTTCTGTGAACTTGCTTCTTTTGGACGATGGTACTTCGAACAAATATTACTTTGAACTGTCACCTTGAACTGTTACCTTCAACAAATTTGGTGCAAATGGTGGATACAAGTATAGTAGTCTTTGTTAGGATATTGAATATGAATGTAGTAGATAAGTGATCTTTTTCTTTAATTTATTTATTTATAGTCACACCAACCGCCCATGGGTTATTAGTGACTCAAATAAATGAACTTGATTAAAGTTATTGATTTAGTGTTTTTGATACGAACTCTGGATTTTTGGTTTAGTGTTGAATTTAATACGATTCGATTCGAGGTGATTTAATTCGATTTTATTTGACACGATTCGTAATCGAAGCAATTCGAATTGGAGGAACTCGGTGTCACGCGATTAAATTCGAAACGATTGAAATCCACGCGATTTAATTCGATACGATTGAAATCCTCGCGATTAAATTCGATACGATTGAAATCCTCGTGATTAAATTCGATATGATTGAAATCCGTGCGATCGAATTTTGCAAAGTGAAATTCCACGAGATTGTATAGGATGGAATTCTATAACGAAATTCTATAATGAAATTCAACGAAATGAAATTTTAGGCTGAAGTGGAATTCGATGTAATTGAGTTCTATGAGGTGGAATTCACAATTCTGTGAGAAATCCGTACAAGTGAATTCTGGAATATGGAATTCTAC